ATGCGTAGCTTTCAGTGATACTGAGAGAGCACTGCCTCTCATCAGGATGATGCTTAAAAACTACAACTTGGATGACATTTATAACGCAGAAGAATTCGGTTTGCAGTACGGACTGGCACCAAACAAGACTATTGCTGCCACACAGCTTCGTGACATTAAAAAACACAAAGCCAGAATCACCTGCTTGTCTTGCTGCAACGCCAGCGGAAGGGATTCAATGCCGTTGAGGAAAATTGGAAACGCGCGATCGCCGCGTGAATTTAGGGGAAAAGTGGGAAGGAGCTTGCATTCGACTACAGAAATAAAGCCAAGGCTTGGATGACAAGGGCACTTTTTTTTGGGTGGCTGTAATTATTCAATTCGAGGATGACTCGGAAAAGGAGGAAAGCTATTCTGTTGTTGGACAATTTCTCAGCACATGGAGCTAAGACAGACATGGAAACACAGAGCTTGTCCAATACGAAGATTATTTTCCTTCGTCCGAATTCCACATCCGTCATGCAGTCATGCGATGCTGGAATTATCGATGCTCTAAAGGGTCCTTACGGGTAATTGAAAATGGGAAGAGCTCTTGACTTTATTGATATGGGAGAGAGGAATATATACAAGGTTGATGTGATAGAGGATGCGTTGGATATGACAAGCATGGGGAGAAATGGATAGTAGAGTTATTTGAAACTGGTGGAGTCACACTAAAGTCGTAGGTGAGGACGTCGATGCGAGCGTTGAAATGATGATGTAGCCGGATCGTCGCGAACTTGATGTTGAAATTGATCATGTTGTACAGGATAGGAGCGAGCGAATGCGAGTTGAGTATCTTCTTCGTCATGACTCAGAAATGGACTCTACAGAGCCAGTCACCGACCGCGATCTACTTGCTTTCATCTCTGGCCCAGAAGATGATTTGGTGAACACGGACGAGGAGGGCGATGAGATGTGTTTTTGCCTCCCCTTCGTGAGCAGTTGCGCATTTTGGCTTCTGCTCATGTCATTATGAGCAATTATGACACCTCTGGGGGGGGTTCTGCGGGGGTTGGAATAGGTGCAACGAGGATTGAGACGTCAAGTGAAGGATGAATTACGTCAAACGAAAATCAGCGATTTTTTAGGACAAAGTTATGATAACCGCGCCTCCCGTAATGATAACCTCTGTGTATGGGCATTGTTGTCCTATACGAACGGCACTCTTATTCGGAGGTGACACTGTATCTGCACTCGTAGGCAGGAGACAACCCTTACTGTACGGTACA